CTGAGGTTAAACCACAACAGTAAGATTTAATAAAGTGTGTGACAGACATACTGTAAAAAAGGATGAGGTTAAGATAAAAACAAAGGATTCCACATGCTGGGATAAATCACCCAGCAGGCTCTGTGTCAGATGCCATGATTTGGCTCAAAATACATATAAACCCTATTTTCTAGATATTAACCCTGTTTCTGTGAAATGTGGTGAAGAGTTTTTGGATTCTATTCTTTGAATTTTATAGGTGCTCAATATTTATTTTAGAGAATTTCAGCATCTCTGTCTTCCGGTTCATGTACTGCAGCAGAGAGAGCACATTTCATTCCAATGTACTTTAGCAGCTCACATTTAAAAAACAACACATTTAAAGAACCTGTTATTCTTGTGTCCTAGGGCCTTCATTACCATTGCTGAAAAGAAGCCCAAAGGGTTGAACTACACTGCTTTGGACAAAAAGAGACTCATGCTGTTCAAGCAAGAGCTGGTATGTGTGGTTTTTCCTTTAAGAATTGATGCAATGATGTTAACTGAAAGCACGCTGGTTGTATACATTTTAATTTCTATTTGATTTCACCACACTGGAATGCTTTGTAATTAATATGAATATAGTATCCAAGAGCATTTTTTTTTAGTAAACCCCACTGTGCTTATTAAAGAGTTGTAAGACACCCTAAAATAATTCAGAACGTTGTTTTTAAATGCAAATAAGACATTATAATGAGCTGATTTTTCTTTTCCATGCATCTTAAAATGGGATGATGCTGAGTTCAGTGGAAAAACACCAAATTAACACTGCTGTTAGGCATTTAATTACTGTGGTGGGGCTGAACTTCAAGACTAGTAAAGTCTGGCATTTGATACTCTTAGACCTTGTCACCTCCTCCAGGGAACCAGTGAGAAGAAACCAAACTGGGTGGAGGGCGTCTGAATGTTTATTAGCTTTATTTACTGTTTGTAGCACAGAATTTGGTCATGACTTCTGTCAGGACCAAGGCCAAATAATTCTAGGTGGTAATCACATGTCTCTTGGGACTTCCATACGTGCAGTATACATACAAACAAAGGGAAAATGGGGGACATTCACATTTTATGTTATTCAGCTCCAAAGAGTTGATCACTTTCTGTTGTGACAAAGAAGGTAATTGTTACCTTGAACCAAGTGTCTCCATCTTCTCTTTTCAACTTGAATCAAAGACTGTTTTCTCCTTCTTTGTCCAGTTCAAAATACTTGATAATGCATAAAAAATACATATTGTCTTTCCTGACTGCAGGAAGCAATGTCCAGTGATGCCAAGGGAATTGTTCAGCAACAGAAAAAGATGCCACTGGATGAAATGATGCGTGAGACTCAGAGCTTTATAGATAAAATTCAATTCTTGGCTGATGAGGTAATCCACACAGAAATTCAGATCAATTTAAGATCCAGGGCTTGACTTTGATTTTTGTAATCCCATGTGAATAATAACTCCTGGCCTGGTTATCCAAAGAGTTCTCCTTCAGATATCTGGACCCAATCCTGTTTTGCATTAAATGGAGCTGTTAACAGACTGGGGTAGGAAACACTGGGCTATGTGGTATGGAGAGGATGTGGTACGGAGAGATTTTTCTTTCTTTTTTTTTAAAATAAGGTCATCCCATATGTGCCCTGGTGGTTTGGAGACAGACTGCTTTCTGATCTGAGTTCATGTCTCCACTTGTATGGACGTAGTGGTTTGGACTGGTATGAGCTCTGGGGTCTCTGTACTATACTTCACTGTGCAGACACTGCTTAGACACGCTATTAAGCCTGAGAATAACAAAAGAACGGACATATCTGGTCAGGCCAAAATCCAGCCAGTGGAGTGCTGTGCCTCTGAGAGCTGTCTGTGCTAGCAAACTAAACAAACAGGGCCATGGTTATTCCCTGGCTCAGAGAGCAAGTGCCACAGCCTGGCATGGTTTGCAGCCTACGCCCAAAGTCTCTTCCTTCTCAAAACAGAGTGACCTTGCTCACAGTGCCTCCTGGGAATAGCCCAGGGCTGGTCTTTGCTTTGAACCATGCTTAGGCTTTACTTGGGGAAATGTTATTTGGGACAGGGCAAGGCGATGTCATGGAGCATCCTCACAAGCAGAATTGATGATCATATGCTAGTGCTTGAGTTTGGCCCTGGTCCTTTTTGGTTTGCTGGTATAGATGAGGTTGCTAGTATTTCCATGGTAGGTACTTTCAGCTTACACAGTTTGTGGGTAAGTTATTTCCTGAGACAAAGTCGTACCCAGATTTTTAGTTTTAGTTTCTCCTGAAATGATTTATAGAGTGGGTGCTCCTTAATCACTCTACAAAACTCTTTACCTTCAGCTGTGCTTATGAATGGAGGTTTGAACTGCAAAGCATGGAGTGACAGCCTCTTTTAGTCCAGGTGCACATCTGCCACTCGACAGGAGCCGTGAGGGAATCAGCTCTTGGTAGAGAGTGTTTTAACAAAAAATAATGGTGATGGCTCATAGAAAGAATTCAGTTTTAGTTCAATATTCCTGGTCATTTAACAGCCGCAGAATACGGTGCCTGATGTGTTCATCTGGATGCTCAGCAGCAACAAGAGAGTTGCGTATGCAAGAGTTCCAGCAAAAAACATACTCTATTCCCCAGCGAAAGAGCAGAGAGGCAAGGACTGTGGGAAGATTAAAACCCATTTCCTGAAAGTAAGTCTGGGGTGCGCTGCAAACACAGGTAATGCCTGGGGAGCATTTGGTATTAAAATTTCTTCCAGGGATTGTATTTTACAGGCTCATCTTTGTAATGTACTAAAAATGTGTACATGTTTATATGTGCCATCTATTAATGTTTGCTTCTTACATTTGTGCTTGTCTTTCTTTAAGTACTGTATTATTTCCAGGCTTTTGGTGTATGAGTAATTAATTCTCTCACTACTTGTTAGGCAAGTATATAGCATTGTTTATCTATAGCTGTATACATAAACAGATAGAAGAGGTACAGCCTCTTTGCTAGCAAAGGCATCAGAATGCAGCACATGAAAATCCAGGAGGAGACCGGTAAGAGATCAGCACGCAGCAGCTCAGATAGCAAGGAAACTTAGGTATTCAGAGGTAATACAGCAATTATTTATGCTTGCTATTTAAAATGTGCCTAGGTTTGTGCAATATATGTCCAAAATATTGTTATGGGATTATTCATCTTGAAGGAAAGTCTTAGTGGATATGCTCCTACAAAGGCAGTGTGACTGGTAGTACCTAGCAGTGGAATATTATGCAGTGTAATTGTTACTATGGCCATCAGGAAAAGTCCAAGCACACAGGACAATAGTAACTTAATATAATGACTTTTTAGTGTTTTTTCAATGGGAGCTGCTGGGAGCACTGCCATAAAGCACAGCTAAAGAGCAGATAGAAATATCTAAGCTCTTGATAGTTGCCATAGGTACTTGTTAAGAACAGTACTATTTGCCTACGTGAACAAAAAAATACCATAATTAATTCTCCAGCCACTTCAATATCAAGAATTACCTTAGGAACAGGTAATACTAAATACTGAGCTTAGCAGAGCTAGATGAAGTGGGAAGGGAGAGGAAGGAAATAATAGTATTTTTTGTCAAGACTAGTAAGGTTTTATACTGGAATATGTTTTCTGACCTGCCCAATGGAGTAATATTTTTAGTAATATATGGGACTAACTATTGGAGACCATCAAAACTGCATGAAATGAAAAGTGGGCTGAAGTCTGGGAAAAGTAGGGTATCAGCTAGCACTGATATGCTTGCACCTATTAGGTAGCCTGCACAAACCTCTGCATAGTAGGCAGTATGCCATTTACATAGACTTTCAACCGAGCAAACTACTAATTTCTTCCTTAAGAATCACAGAAGTTCCTTGTGCTAAATGAGTCTCAGGGCCACTCACTGTGGAGAAATGCCATTTATCAGTATGTCAGCTCAGTGAACGCTCCTTTGTTTTACTGTGGTTTGGTAGGACTCAGCATCCAGCCATCCCTCTCTCTTGTTGGTGATGGGTGGATTTTTTTCTTCAGTTACCAGGCAAGCGCCCGCTGGGCTGGACTGTGCAGGCAAAGGTGGACATCTACCTATGGCTTGGAGCTGCCAGCTATGCCCACAGCATCATGGAGAATTTGCCTGTAGGATATGAGACTGAATTACCATTTAACACCAACTCAGGGCACAGTGTGGTGCCCTCACCTGCCTGCCTGCTGTATAAAAGTAAGGCACTGTTTCTTCACCATATTAGCTATTAAGAGACGTGGCCCCAAAAGCTCTAATTCAGAGGGTGGCACAACCTCTGTTTGAAGTAACTGTTCTAAGATGATCATGGCTTAGCATCTTTTAATCAGAAAAGGCTGGTTTCATTGCCAAGTCATCAGTCCTGCCACTGACACTTTGCAGATGTCAGGGAAAGAAAGGACCTGTTTGCTTGCAATTTCTGTTCCCTGTCCCATGGGTCTGTCTCCTCATAATGAGGAAGCATCCTTCAGTTCTCCTGAAGAAGCTACCGTGTTGAACACCTAGTAGATAAATCAGCGATGAGAGATAAAAACTGGCAGTTAACAACCTGGCAGTAGAGACTTACATCAGACTTTGATTTTAAGTGAATACAGAAGTCTTACACAGCTTCTGAGTGTCTCAGGTGTTGAGACCTTGTCAGATCCTGGTTGGACAGCAGGTGATGAATCTTCCTTCCTACCTATGTGCTGCATCATTTCCATGAAGCTGACATTACTGTTTTCTTTGCAATGACGTAGCCCCACACCTCTTCCAGCTGAGAGCACACATGTATCAGGCGAGGGGGCTCATTGCAGCCGACAGCACTGGACTTTCCGATCCTTTTGCAAAAGTTACTTTCACATCACACTGCCAGACCACGAAGGTAAGTTCCAAAGTTTCTTTCAGTAAGTGAAAGCACATTTTTTTTTCCAATTAAGCCATGAAAAGGAAAAATCTTGGTTTTGCAATGAGGTACCTAGCAGGAAAAGTTAGATGCCTGCTGTTAAAAGGGCAACTCCTGACAGTCCACTGCAAGCAAGGCAAAAGTTTAGGTGTAACCCACTACTCTAACATGAATTACAGTAGTACTAGTTTATTTTAGCTCAGATGTCAGATTGTCTGGGGCTACTGGGACTTTGTAGCAAGTGAATTACCTTTCTCTACATCTTTTTCTATATGTTTTAAGTTTGGGCTGTTGTCATTGCTTGGTATGAGGATGAACCCCCGCGGTTCTCTTTTCCTATAGTCCATGCATGCAATAATTGAGCAGAGAGTGAAGACCTTTATATGGCTTCTGTAGCCATGTGAGCCAGCATGGCTCTTTGCGATGGAATTCAACAAAGCACACTGGTGGTTTTAGAGTGGCAAAGTTGAAATGAGCTGAAAACAGAGGTGTGAGACTTTCTGCACCACTTAAATGCTGCAAAAATGTGCCCATAGGGAGTGGTCTCACATCTCCCTCAGGCATCTCCAGGGGGCAAATGATCTCCTGTGGGCATTTGATGGAGCCTCTAGAGAGAAGGAGGAACTTCTACAGAGCTCCAGCAAGAAGGGTTGAACTATAGCCCTGGCAAATGAGCAGGAGGATGGTCCCTCACAGGACATGAAGACTGACTTTCAGAAGTCCTGAGCCCTCTACAGCTACCCTGGAGTTAAAATGGGGCCAGGGGTTCTGAAACCCATGCCACAAGCAGAATTTGCTGGGCCAAATATGGTCTTGTTTCAGAAAAAGTATTTAACCCCCCATCCAGCCTCTCCCCCCAAAAACTCCACAGAAGACTGTTTTAGTTGAATTAATTCTAAAATTCCTCTGACATCTTCTTCTCTTATGAAGCAAGTTCTGTAGTACGTGTCAAAGGGAGCGAGAAGCAAAAACCTTTCTCTGCTCTGAGTTGTAGGCACCTGTTTGTGCTGCTTTTGCCTCAAGAATACGAACTAATTTTTTCCTGTAATGTGATTTTAACTTTTAATAGAAGTTGCTGAATGAAGCCAATGAAGTTAGTGCTTAGATGCACCAGATTCAGGAAAGTAGAATTTGGCCCAGGAAAAATAGGATTTTATAGGCACAGAAGTGTTAAGTGAATACACTGCCTGAATAAAATATTGCAGCCAATAACTTGCATGTTTTTAGAACACTGTCAGCCAAGTGCCAATAAACTGTAGTCAAGAGCCTTATTTCCATTCGAAAGAATGATAGCAGATTATGAGTCATTTTGCAGTTGGCATATTTTTCCTCTTTAAATGTTATCTTTATTAAATATATTTCCTGCCAAGACAGTTAAAACATTGTCTATGATGAAATGCCATAAGCATTCACATAAGTCAAATTACAATAAATTAAAAACTTTTGATTTATTATGAGTAATTCATAAAAATATATTTTTTTTTTCCCATAAAGTGTTATGTGTCATTACACTGAAGTAAAAACAAGATTGAAAAAATGTACCCTGGAGAAGTGAAAACTGGCCTCAGTTTAGGGCAAAGGCCTTATTTTAACAGCATTGGACATGCACCTGCTTTTCTAAACCAACAGCTTTCCTCTAAATTTAATACTGAGCTTTGTACACACAGACTGGTGGTCATGTATTGATATGTCTGTGAGGGCTCTGTGAGGCAAACAGGGAAACGGAGAAACTGGAGATACAGGCCTCAAGGCAAAAGAATCATATGGTTCTGCCTGGGAATAGCTGCTGAAAAATGTGGTGTCTCAGACAAGGAATTGTTCAGGCTGTGGGAAAGGATGGCACCAGCAGATCAGCACGCCCTGCTGAAGGACTCCCAACAAATCAGTTCATAGCTCATTAAACATTTCCTCTCTTTCATTAGATCATTTCTCAGACGTTATCCCCCACCTGGAACCAGATGCTGCTCTTCAGCAGCATTGTGCTTCATGGCAACAGAAAGGAGATCGCTCAGTTCCCACCAGAGATCGTCATCGAGCTGTATGACGATGATGCAGTGGTAAACTCAAAATCCTTAGTAAAAACCTGGGCTCTTATGTCTTACTGCCAGTGTGAAAGCAAAGCTGTGTCACTGAATAGGCATTAAATGGATGACCTTGCTGAATGGAGCACAGTGTTACAGTGGTTTGCAGTTTAACATCTGAAAACAGCCCTGAGACTCACTTTATGTCCTTGCAAAGCTGTGGCCTTGTTTTTTCCCAAGTGAATCTTGCTCCCAAAGACTGGCTTACAGAAATCAGAAGCATCTTGCCCCCACCTCCCTTGCACATAACTGTAAATATTGTATCTAAGTCTGGGGAGACACAGATTTATCTCTGATCATGCAAACTCTGACACAGTCTCACTGACTGAGCATAGAGCTGAGAAACTTTGGATGCTCTGAAGAGGCAGTAAGTACTCAGCTATTCCATTTTCATAGCTGCCTTGCATTTTACCTTGCTCTTTCCTTCAGAATAAGTTTTTTTTCACAAATACTAAACTCTGCATCATCTTGGCTCCTATGACAGCTGTGAAATTCAAATGCATTTGACACCTCTATTCTCCTTTGTTTAGGGTAAGGCAGAATATATTGGGTCTACAGTGGCTGCCCCTGTGGTGAGACTTGCTGATCAAAACTATGAACCACCTAAACTTTCTTACCACCCAGTGTATTGTGGAAATCTTTCAGGAGGAGACCTTCTTGCTACATTTGAGCTTCTGGAGGTAAACTAGACTTTCTCGACCGTTACACTTTTACACCCTGGGATCGCAAAAGCAGCCATGGCATCAAGGCCCATCACCCTCTTGAATTAATGGGAATTGCAACTGGAGCAAGATCATTCTGCTGTCGGACCTTATAGTCCCCATGCAATCTCTGCCACTGCCTCTACGCTGCCAGGGGCCACTGTTCATGCACACACCACCACCAGCCCCTCGTATGCTCTGAGTGTCATTTGCCCGTCACTTGCCCTGCCTTAAATTGGGCTCTGGCCTGAGAAACAACTATGAAAATCCCACTGCCATTGCAATGACCTGCTCTTTGGAGTAGCACATGGCCCTGACTTTGGCAACCTCAGAGCTCTCAATACTGCTTTCACTCTTAGGAAAAGGAAGCGGTGAATAATAAGGGTTGGATTAGGGAGACTGAGTTTTCAGATACCCATAACATATTAAGAGAAATGTTGCAGCTGTGAGACAAAAGGCAAATTCAGCTTACCTCTGGGGCTAGCCCGGCAGATGAGTGGGGTGTATCGTGCCTGGGATTTCAGTGACTTTCAGTGGAATTCGCAAAGCCACCAGTTAGAGGAAACTTCTCTCTGCTGAAAACCTACAGCAGCTTATTCTGAAATCTGAAATGGGAAAAACGTGGAACCCCGTGACATGTTTTACAGATATTCCCAAGATAAAACTGGCTTTTAAGCATGATGGGCTAATTACGTTCTTGGTGAAAGCTTGAAATATCACACCATGTGGAACATTTCCTCATTATGGTGGGTACCTAGGGATGAAGTCTAGTACCTTAGCCATGATTTTCCCATTTTTTATTGAAATCCACTTGCTGGTGAACAAAGAGAACATTGTATTTTGTTTTCCCATCTTTTGGGAAAAGGGAAGCAGCACTGCTTCTGGTATATATCCAAACATACCCCTAAGACTTCTTTAGAGACTTGACAAGAACTGTAAGTAAAGACCCTGGACTCCTTATTTTCACACTCTGTATTATTCTTCTCAGTGATAACACTCTAGAGCATCTTACATGGCAGATAATAGCAATATGGACATTAAAGAAATGTTCAGGAAAAGATATATATAAACATCTGCCAGGCTTCAAAGCACTCCCAGAGCTGATGTATCGGTGGCTCCTTCCAACATCAGGGGATTCCTGATGATGCTCTGTGTGAGGATGGAAACAAAAATCTCTCATCATTAATTTATTCTCATTCTGAGCCCATAATCTTTCCCGTGACATACCATGCTTAATAACTCTGATCTGCAGGTACTGTTCAGTTCAGCTGAAGAAGTGCTGTGTAAGAAGTGAATGCTCCTTTCTCAAAATGAATGCTATTATGCTGGGTCTTGCTGGAGGAATAAAATTATTCTTATAACAAAGCATCCTGGCATTTAGAAAAATAGTAGGCTCAAAAAATACAGACTAATGAATACTAGGAGTCTTGATTTTGTTCAAAGTGCGCTCAGGATTTACTGATTTTTTTTTTAATCAAAAGAGCAAAATCCCCTTGTAAACACACCTTGTGGGTATTTTCCTCTACTGTCATTTGAGTGCTAGATCATTCTTCACCTCTTGTTTTGTGCAGTTTCACTGTGGCCATGAAACAAAGTCCTTTGTGAGTTATACTAAGCTAATTTCACTGAAATTAAGAGACTTTCACTGTGTAATACAGAAACGCTCTCAACTCCACTAGTGGTTGTTAGATCTTGGAAAACCGGGGACCTTGCAATATATTGGACAACTGTTCAGTTAACTGCAATACTTAAAAAGAACAAAAGTGAAGATCCAGGGAATCTTGATTTGATATCAGTCTTAGGTTTTGCAGTCCTGGAGTGAAGTTTAATAAACTCTTTACGAGGCAGTTCTGTCCTCAAATGTGAGATCTCGCCAGCCGTCCTCTCCTAAGCCATGTCCTTGGGAATTAATCCCTTCTCACAGCTGTAAGAGGATACATAAATAGCTATATATGTTCTAGTAAAAAAAAAAAAGGTGCAGTTTAGAAATTACATATGTATAAGTCACTGTATCATGCAGATTACCATATTTTTCTTGATCACCTTTCGTCAGTACACATGTCAGATAATGCAGTGAAAGTGGATATCTTGAGATGTGAACTGTGTGCAGGGACATGACACCTGGTATGCGATCTGGTTCAGGTGGTCTCTGCCTCTTGTTTTAAAGTACCAGTTAATCTATTATGGGGTAAATTTTTGAGACATTTAATGTCGGTAAATATAGAGTTGGAAGTTCTGAATATAATTAAAGCTAAACAGGTGTATTTCTAGACAGGCAGGTATTGTTCACAAAGTTGTGTGTTTCTGTTTGGCTTTTTAAACAGCATCACAGAGGTGGCTGATAGAAAGCAGATATATTGGGGAACAACAAAACTAGACCTAGATCTCTGGCCTCAAGTTCCATGAAATCTATTGAATTAATTGCTTTGGATTTTTACTGATAAAGGCAGTAAACATGTGTATGTGAATTATTGTTGTTAATTATGCTAATACTCACATATGCTGCAGGTGCTATGCTAGAAGATACGTTTTCCACCCATCTCTTCCTTCACCTACAAGGTACTAGGGACACATCCTTTCTCCCTTATGCTAATTAAACTCCCACTTAACTGTACATAGCTGCAGATAACAGACAGATGGCCTAGTTAAAAGAAGCAGAAAACTTCAACTTTACATGTCCTTTGAGAGCTGTATCTCAGCTGCTTCACCTTTCAACGGTGACAAGTTAGCTTAGGAATGGTGAAGCACTCCAGAAGTTGTGCTTCTTTTTCCCAGAAGCCATACGTACAGTACGCTTTAGGTATCGTACTTCATGTGAAAGCCGAGGAGAGCTCTGTCTGTAAGTTGTTAGCTCACCTGTGAAACCCGTGTTCCTACTGTTCTCTGCTATCACAGCCTGAGCTTCTGGTAGGACTGATCATCAGGTGCTGGCTTCAACTATTTTATGTAGAAATTTGCTAAATCAGGCCAGGCTTCAGACCTGCCCTGCATGGACTGAGAAGGTCATAAATACACTGTTGAAAATTAGGAAGGGATTGGGAAATGAAGCCAGGGAGCTTTCCCACAGAAGGTGACCAAACAGGCAGCAGAGCCTGGAGCACGGCAAGAGGCAAAGAGATGGTCAAGCCTCAGAGCTGCGGTGGAGCATGCCCTCCTCCCACCCGCCTGGCACAGGGCCGTCATGTACGCCCAAATAAGCTCCTGAGCGTGGGGCAGGCTTATGTGCAATCACATGCAAAGAACGTAAGTGCTGCCTGCCGCAAGATTTTAGTTGTTGCACAGAGAAGACCCAGCCCTAACACTGGAGCTGCGATTTGCAAGTTCTCAAATGCTGACAGCATGCAATAATGCAGGACCGCTATTCCATAGTGGCTGAAGAGCATTATGTCTGTCTGGCAAATGTGTGGTTTAGCTCATGTGTACTGTCTGTTCACCAGCCTTTTTTAACTAAAATCATATCTAGAATTTTCTTGTGAAAATCTTTTAAGCAATTTTGCACAGGATTTTCATTAAATAGAACTACTATGCTTTCCATTTTTAGTAAATAGAATTACCATGCTTCAGTACACGCATGTCTTTAGGGCAGACTATGTCCTGCTAGGACAAAGGAAACTTTTTTTCAGAAAGGCGCATAAGACCAATCTATTGAATACTCTTCCTGCCAAGTGTTTTAGCATCACAGCAGGACAGATAGCAATCCAGGTCACATTTCTCTCACAGTACAATCTGTCTGCTCTGTAATGTGTCTTACAAAACTGCATTAAATTGTTGTGTTCTATGTACCATTCACAGATACTTCTGATACTGGTTTTATTCTTCAAAAAAACAGCCTGAGTTATGACTGCTTAATTTTTCAGATTCCTGAGTCAGATCCAGACAGACTTCCTCCACTGGATCCACCAGATGTTGGCCAGATTTACCCAGTCCCAGCCAACATCCGACCTGTTTTAAGCAAGTACAGAGTGGAGGTGAGTTACTTGGAATATTTCTGTTTCCAAATCTCAGCTTCTATTATTCTCTTACTGAACCGTAACAGTAAGGGATGATGGTTTTAAAATCCTGACCAATAGGAATCATGTAAAAATAGCATATGGATCCCAAAATAAATGTGGTAAGCTCAGATCAAATTGATTGTCTGAGGCTGGGAATGCGAGGCAGTGCTTCCACCTGAGGCCAGCAAAGTCTACATCTTAGTCCTGGTGTGCCAGGACAGGACTGCTCCCATGACAGAGAGTGGCTGATGGACCTGCACTGTGTGCAGCCCAGGGAAGTGTCTGCAGGAGATGGAGAGCTTTCCCTTGCAGCTGACCTCACTGGAGGTGAAGTTCTGCATCAGTCACCTCCCAGGCTTTTTCTGGGTCCCAAACTTCAACAAGGTAATGTCACCTGCCTGTATACAAATGTCTGCACCTTCTCTCCCCTCCTCTCTTGCACCATTTGGGCCCAAAGTCCCCTTATGTGAGAAAGCAGGGAAATGTGGCTGCTTTTCATGTTAGAGTGATGCCTGGATGCTGCCCAGCTTCACCACTCCCTGTCACTCATCCTGCAGCCTTCTTACCAGCTGTTTATTTGCCCATTTTGCTGTGCCAAGTCAGACCCTGCTTGTGTAACCTCGTGGCCCTTCCCAAGAAATACTCGTTCAGGATGCAACTGAGCTGCTGAAAAGGAAAGAAGAGTTCTCAGCTCTGCTGTATCATTTAGTTAAACTCTTGTTCTCTGTACATAGGAAAGAGTTTTTGTTAGCAGGTTTTTTTACACCCAACATTGCAAGGTAAATAAGCCCATGAACTACTCTGCTAATGCTAAAGGGACAACTCAAATCCTTAAACTTAGGTGTTCCTCTAAGTATTGTGCTATGAAGGCCTTCCCACTGCCTCTACAGTAGGATTGCTTTGTGCTGTTTTCAGTTCCAGTCTTCATTTCAGGTTCATGAGACTCATGACTTCTCTCACCAGCGGTAACATAACCATCCCTCGCTGCCCCAGCACTCCTTTTCGGGCCCCCCCAGCATGTTCTGTATAAAGTCCCATTTGCAGACCCCTATTTTACAGACCCTGCCTCCTCCTCATCCTCCAGACCAGGAGCATGGTCCTTTGAAGGAAAGCTGCTTGGAGACCTCCACCATCCATTGCAGACCTGAGGGATAGCTAAGCTGCAAACCTCTATTAATCACCTCTGCTCATATGGGATTTGTTTGCTCCTTCAACAGCTCTGACACTTTAAACAAACCAAGCCCCTGCTGTTCAGATGGATAGTCCCCTTGCCCTGATGAAAAGACAACTTTTGCAAATGTGATTATTGTGGCTTGCTGTTGGCAATAACTTCTTGATAACAGGTGGACATTATCAATTGCTTTAACTTCCACCATAATCCTGATGGTTATTGGATATCAGATTTAAGTTGTTTGGTTTTTTCTTGCATTCCCAAAGGGACACCAGGTGATAGGATCCCAGCAGTGGCTTCCTCCAGACTGAAGGGTCTCTGCAGGCTACCGATGTTTCTCTCTCTGCCCACCCACCACAGGTCCTGTTCTGGGGTGTTCGAGAGCTGAAGAAAGTCCAGCTCCTTTCTGTAGATCGCCCCCAGGTTCTCATCGAATGTGCAGGGAAAGGAGTGAAATCCTCCGTCATCCAGAGCTACAAGAAAAATCCCAATTTCAGTGGCCTTGCAGACTGGTTTGAAGTGGTGCGTACAGCATGCTGCTCCTTGCCTGTCCATTCTCTGGTTAGGCAAGGTGTTAATTACTAATTTCCTTCCTTTCTTGTCAAATAATTTCCTCTGTGTCTTGATTAAATACTAAGGGACATCAGTTCTTATGCAAAAACTACTTATTTTAAGATGCTTTAAAAGACTTCTGCTACAACTGTATGATAAAAGAAGATGATGTTCCTCATGTTATGTCTCAAATAGAGAAGGAAATATGTTGCAGTCAGATTTTTACTGATAGGTTGGAACTTGTTGGCAGATAACAGGGATATTTTTAGTACTTTTTCCTTCTCCTTTCCCATTTTGCAGGGTAGTGCTCAGTTTCCTTTATTTTCTTTCAATTCTTTTAATTTTCCTTCATGTGTTACTGGGCTATTAAGGGGATTGATCATTTCTGGCTCATGAGCTCTGGAACTTTTCATATTGTAACACTTGCTGTTATGGACCTGAAATTTAATTATCATCTGTTGGCTGGATTATAAGAGATGATACTTTCAGTGGACAAAGGTCAGCATAAAAAAAAATAAAAAAATCTGTTCTATTTTCTCTAGTTGCTAGCAGCAAGAGAGAAGTTGTTTATTTATAAGACAAAAGGATATCAAAACACTAACCTGGATGCTGAAGTACAGTTGTTACAGTATTTTTAGCTTCCATTGTATGTCACATGTCCAAAGAGCTGTTTTCCCTTTTGTAATTCATCCTATAAGGCATGTAACCACCCAGTGTCCACATCTCACGGTTGGATAAACTGAGGCAGATAGGGTTAAAAGCCTTCAACAAAGTGGCAGTGGCATTAAGACTCACAACTTCCAACACAGCATTCATTCCTTCTGAACGTTCCTGATTCTTCTAGTTTATTCTAACAAGAGTTGCTTGTATATGACAGCATGGGACTCAACTCAGTAGCACAATCTGTATGCTCCACTCTGTATTCTTAAGGACAAGGCTTTCTCCAGAATTTGCAGAAAACTGTGGACAGAACTATATTGCCTATGCTGTATGCATTTTGCATTTTGAGTATGTTAATAGCTGAGGAGGAGAAGGGAGGGAAGAGTAAAAGCCTCATTGCTGTGCACAACAAATATTCTATACACGTTCTATATTCTCTAGCAATTCTCATGCTGCTGTCTGTCCTCCTTCATTAGGAGCTGCCTGAAAATGAACTCTTGCATCCACCACTAAGCATCTGCGTGGTCGACTGGAGAGCGTTTGGGAGGAGTACTCTTGTTGGAACGCACACCATCAATTGCCTTAAGCAATTCCTATGTAAGACCCAGTTGGGTCCTCAAGCTACACCAAACAGACTAGACATTGTAGAAATTGAGAAAGGTAAATTTCCAATCCTGACCCCAAATAAAAAGACAAAGGACCTACTCAGAGGCTTAACACTAGGCACATACTCAGAAGATATGCTTCATTGTGTTCAGTGTAGGGTCAAACCCTTAATGATATGACCATTTGGTGATCACCAAATGTGATTATAGCATTTCTGGCAAAATCTTACCTAACTTGCAAAGTTTCAATTTCAGCTTCACCTGAGTCATCCCAGGCTGCTGAGTTATCCCAAGAAGAACCATTTTTAGCTGATCACATCTATGCTGAGGTGGAGCAGGGTAAATGTGCAGTGGTAGAGCCAGACCCATATCTTGCAACACTTCCTGGCCCTGAACCAGAGCACTCTGCCCCTGAACCAGGGAAAGACAGAAAACAGAAGGTGGGTATAGCTGAAGCTGCCAGCTAACTTTCTGTTGCAGTCTTGCAGACTTTCACTCTCCCTTATAAAATGGTAATCTCTTACTTATCTCAGGATTAGAGATTCTGGGTCCTGATATTAACACCCACGCTATCTTGCTGGCCCTTGAGAGAACTGGTTAGCAGTGCAGCTTTGACCCCACATAATTTCATTACTTCCACTAACAGATACTTCTTTCTTTTCCTTTTGTGCTAGGTGGTCATCTCATGGGAAAGTACTACTGGAGTAGTAGGATTTTTGCTTTTTCTGGCCTTGAATGATCTACTTAATTGCAAAACTCTCACTGTGAATGACTGTTTCTGTGTCCCTGGCATTTAGGCAGGAACGAAAGCCCCCTTGTGTTAGATGCTGTACAAACATGGAGCAGAAAGTGTTTCCAAAAGATCTTACAGTCAAAGTATGAAACTGGTGTCAGTCTGTGGGTAGAAGAAGATAGGAAAGTACAGAAAAACAAGGCAATTCTGGTCAGCATGACGTTTACAGTACAGTATACGCTCTAGATTGTACACATAATTTTTTGTTCAGATGCACATGTTCCTCCTTTCTCTGTAGTTTCTGCCATCACAATCACTCTTTTATTAACAACAATAAAAGCAGAGGATGCACGACTGACTTTCGTTTCAGAAGCTGTTTCTGCAGCTACATAAAGCATGCTTCTTTAGCCTTTGATGTTTCAGTGGTCAGATGTTTCCAGCATCCTTCATAATTAGGAGGTCAAAGAAACTGCAGGCATGTCTTGTTCCCTAGATCCAGACACCAGTCTGGATCTTTCATCTGGTACAGAACAATTTTAGTGTATGACAGCAAAGTATAGTAAGAAAAGAGTCCTAAAAGGAACCCCGTAATTTAACCATCTCTGTTATATTAATTATCATTCCCACTTATCTATCTATAATTCCCAATTATCTATCTTTGCTCCGGCCTCCCCAGCCAAGCTGACAACTCTCTGTAAGGGTGTAGGATGAAACACTCTATTTAACAAGGGCCAATCTTTAGGCAAGAATGAAGTTAGTAAGATTTGCCACATGAACAGGTGACCTTCAGGATCAGATTTTAGCTTTTTGTAAGGAGAGAACAGCTGAACTGCAGCAACTGTAGGGACTTTTCCTTCTTCCAAAAGGCAATAAAGTAATAATGGGAGTTCTTAAAATACTTGCAGACTTAAGTGGGAGAAACCAATTTGTATCTGAATGTCCGCACCCCTTAAAATATCATTACCTATTTCTCTGAGTAATTTGCCTGTTGTATGGGTTGCTCCTGTTGCAATGTCTCAAATGTTCAAAGTTTTGGCATCATCAGTAGGCAATATAGAGATAGCTTTAATAATATGATGATCATGATGAGGTTTCTTGGAATAAAAGACAGAGACACTAATTCATATTGCATTTTATTTAGCTCTTGGAGGTTGAAATTTTCTTCATATACATCTGTTCATGCCTGATGTCATGAGTCAATTATCATTATTATGATATTATTATCATGAGGTGATTAGTTTTAATCAGTTCTAGAGTACAACAGTGTTTTCCCCATGCTTTGGTAGGATATGAAAAAATCCATCCAACGGTCAACAAAGAGGAGAAAAAGAACGATTGCAGATGAATCAGCTGAAAATGTTATTGACTGGTGGTCAAAATACTATGCTTCTGTGCTCAAAATGCAAAAGGTAAGTCACCCAGCATGCCCGAAACTCTCGTGGATGAGCAATGTTGTAAAAGTACATTTACTGCTGAATTATTCCTTTTTGGTATTACATTCATAATGAGTTTGTCCATCATCATTTTCTTTTGAAAGGCAAAAGGAATTTTGTCCAGTGAGGGAAAACCTGAAGACAGTAAGTAAATTATTTGCATTTTTCTATTATTTTGTATTACTAATACTTCGCTTCTCTACTATTTTACTGTCAACAGTTAATGTCTGGTAACAGAGTACTGCTGATATACTGGGTTCTTTCCTCTGCAGCTGATCAGATGGTGGGTAGGTCAAAAATTCACAGGCAATGTTGAGTTAACATGAGTTTTCTGTCATTCAAATCTCATGCACAAAGATTTGCAAAGTCAAAGTCCTAAATGATAGAAGATGGAGATTATCCTAATCTTAGGTTACATTTGTGACAGGTTCAGAAAAAGAAGTGTCTCTCAGTTTTGAATCCAATTCAGGATCAATGATGCAGGAACAGCTTCTGCTAGGAGACTCCATAGTCATGTATGTTACTTCCATAGCTGAAAAGTTTTGTGTCTAGCTCAGGTTCTAGTGGAAAATTTTTTGCACAAGAACCTAAAAGAATTGGCCAGAAATAGGCTCTGTGTGTATGTATGTATATATGTCTCCATACATGTATACTCCATGGCTTAACAGGTCCTCCCACAATCAAACAGAGATCTAGAAATTTTTTTTTTTTGGACAAATGTGACTGCTTGAGCAGACTGGGAAAGAAAACAAATGTTTACTGTTTACACAGAGCTGCTATTCGGAATTAACCTATGGCATCTTCCCATGCCAGAGCTGACTGCACTTCACCAGTGATTGAGGCGATTTCTATTTTAAAGGAGGTGTTGAGATTGCTCTGGATGGAAGACACGACCTAAATGTCAGATGGTACCATTCTGGAAATAGCAGCTGATGGTGTTTCAGTGATCATCAGGGCTGCTGAGAGATGAGGCAGAGATCAGTTTCTGAGTGAAACTCACTTGTCCACATGGAGGAAATATTTAGATAGAAAATGTTCTACAAAGGTGTGATGTTCACTTAAAATTAGAAATTTACTTGACATTGTGACATCCACCCACATGCTATTCAGGCAGTTGTGGCATAATGTTTTTCACAGATTTCAGATCTTGTAAATTCTCTTCTGATAGTTTTTGTTACATATTTTCACCTATGATGATAAGCATTATACATACAGGACAGCACTGATATACTATATACATATATATATTTTTCTAAATATTTAGTGATATGAAACACACATGAACTACTCAAAAAAATGAAAGTAAAGTGAATGCAAAATCCAGATTTCAGCCAAAGAACTGAACCATCTCAGTGCCATTTTTAAGGGCTCGCCCTCTTTTTATTGGAAAGTCCCCTCTCAGTGTTTGGAGTCCGGCTTGAGGCTGGTCAGATACCTCCTCCCATTTCTCATACTTCTAGGCTCTCACAAGGTGAGATACACTCTATTTTGTGATACCTTTGAGCAGAGAAGGACTTGGATCACCTGATATCTGAAGTACCAGTCAGCCTAAAGAGCGGCTTCCAGTTTTAAGTAAGCCTTAAGTTTTACATGAAAGCTCTTAAAATCTGTTAGTTTGTATCTGGGAAGAGTCAGAGAGGAAGGAAAAGGGTGTTCTGGGAGATGGCCAGCAGGGAAGAAGTGATACAGGACACCATCACACTTGGTCCACCAAGCTCATAATGAAGACTGTTAGCCACCAAGAGGATAAAATACCACCTCTCTGCCTGGGAGGAGCGGTGGGAAAAGAGAGGACCCTATGCTTGGCAGTAGAAGAATGAATGGAGAAGGAGCGAGGGGAACTTTCTAAAATTTAATTTGCATCCTTATCTGAAGCATTTGATGTGCTTTGCTCACTAAAACCTACATGATGTCATGAAATCTCTGCAGATAAGCAGACTTCTGACCACATCGCACTGATCATAGAAAAGGAGCCAGACAAAAAGAAGAAGGATAAGACATTGAAAAGGAAAGAGAAAGAAACTCCAAACCTAGCAACGCTGCAGGTAAGAGAGAAGTAAGGCTGAGAGGTAAGGCTGTTAATTCACTGCCTCCCCAAAGCTTGACATCAGCAGCGGAGTTTAGCAAACACTCCTTACATTTATTTCAGACACTTTAACATTAATAAAACACACAAAATGATAGTGATAATGCACATCAGCACATGGGGCCCAGAGGAAACCAGGGTCTCATAGGGCAGATGTGGCCCGCTTGGCCTTAGACCTTCAATTTGCCAGTTTAGACACACCCAGAGACACTTAAGTGAAAACTCAGTTTTGTTGTTCGCCTGTAAAACACTGAATTTGGAACTTCCAAGTTTCATGTTGGAAATACTACAGCCTATTAAGAATGACTTAAAAAAGAGTATGGAAAGCTTCGCTGCAATCGCTAGTGCATCCTCCCTGATGGAGAGGTAACATTCAGCTCGCATTAGATTTGGTTGTGTAACAATAGAAGGAATTCAAAGAAAACTATATAGGTTATGCAAAATGACTGGAGAGATGAAGAGGTTTGAAAAGATTAGGACTGCTTGGATTAGACTGTAGCTGAATAAAGGGGAATTTGAAACTGCTGTTTCCATTTTTTAAGAGATGGCACTAGTCTAGGCCCTTCTATTTCACACTGAATAACACTTCATAAATTACATGGGAAGAGTGTTGAAAAAAACCCCGTCCTTTTAAAAATGATTTGGTCTTTTTACCTATCGTAAAGCTCTGTCCCCACAGCACTTTATTATCGTTTGCTTTGCTCTCATGTTCTGACACATTAACATAACAGAATGGGTCAGTGCATCAAAGGCACATTGCAGAGAGCAAACAGAAGCAAAGAGCAGCACATCCACACTGTTTTTCACCCACACCAGTGCTTACAAATGTTCATTCTGGCCCTTCTAGAGCCACTTCTACGTGCTGCATTAACATGCTATTCCAGTAGTTGGGAAGGACTTTGATTAAGGACAAAACTCTTCCTGTTTTAAGCAGGGAATTAACTTTTTGTTCTCAAGGACTTTTGCAAAACCTTGGTTTTATTAAAACCTGTATTTTGAGTCAAAATGGATTTCTAGTCATCCTGTAATAAAAAAGTTGCTATAAATATATTCACTGCACCACAAAGAATAAGCATTGTCCTATTTTCAAAGATTTATGAAGGAGACTTGGAGAGTGAATTTAATAACTTTGAGGACTGGGTGAAAACTTTCCAGCTCGTAAGAGGAAAATCTAATGATGAAGTTCATGCTGACTCTGAAGACAGAATAATAGGAAAATTTAAGGTGAGCTTTAATGTTGATTAAATAGGTAATAATTTAGAGACTTTATGTTTTCATGCATCTTTCAGGTATACCAAAGATGAAAGAAAAAGACATTGACAGTCTGTTGTAAATAGAATTATCTCTTTTATTGGATGTAGTGTCATATTTTTCCTTTCCCATTATCTGATAGATGAAAGCAGCATTCAGCACCAGGTGTTCACTGTTGTTTTGAAACAAGGAACTACAAAAAAGTTTTAAATCACAGAAGGGGAAGAACAGATATATTATGTAGTCCAAATTCTGCTACTGTAACTGTATTACTGCATGATCAGTTACAGCACCTTGTATGTAATTTTCAGTAATTTAAATGGAGGCTCTTACAGCTACTCCAGTTGGAAACAATTGCACAGCCTGATCCAGGGCACCATTAGGCAATCTGAAAACGTAGTTCAAAGCATGAATAATGTTAGTAGGATTTCAAGCACTTTGTAGTTTAGACAAACTGATTAAACTCATTGATACCTCAATTTTCAATGCAAATTTCTGTTCAAATGACTTGCTAGTTGCTTTCAGGCAGTATGAGCTACTCAGCAGCATGAGTCAATATTGATTTATGAGTTGTATGGTGGCTGCAAAAATACAGTTGGATTCCAGTCACACTGTTGTGAAACTAACCCAGTGGAATTATCAATTTGCAAATATACAGTTAAGGGCAAAATATTATTTTTAAAATATTAATACTAAGAAAACTAGATTTAGAACACCGGCAGGTGTTACTCCTTTAAATAATAAAATAGAGAGCTAAGAACATGCAAGTACTTCTTGCAATCACCTAGAGGTGATGATAGTACCATGTTATAGAGCAAAGACATTTTAAAAGATGATGTTTAGTGCACTGAAGCCTGTGTTCCCTTTGAGTGGTACCACAAAATGTGTTGTGTATATGTACTGTGCTGCAGCGCAGGCTGCATGAATGATGTTTTGTTTGCATTCAAAGGGTTGTTTTTATATTGCACTTGATCTGTTTTCGAGGGAGATAAAAGACAGTGTATTACCAGGGCTCATTCTGCATATACCCAAGTCCTGAGGATGGCAGCTTGCTGGACAGAGGGCAGCCCCGCATCCTGCAAGGGATACCACCAAACCACTCCGTCAAAGTCCTCATCAGGGTTTATATTGTGGCAGTAAGTAGACAGAAGTTCTTTTAACCTTGAAATAATTTGGACGTTTCTTTTCAACGCAGTTTACCTCCAGTGTCTTTGCAGTGAAGCTTCTGAAATTCCTTATCCATGTGGTAGAATTTTTTTTGCCATATTTCAGACAATCTTTCATGTTGTAGGAATAGGTGTTCAGGGTAGAAAATGTTACATAGTCCTCATGACAAATTGCAAGACTAGAGAATCACTTTACTCGTTCAAACTGAAAGGGCTAGAGACATAACTAATATCGTATGGACAACCTGTTCCAGCCACGTTATGCAAATGCAGCTAGTTTTAATCAGTAGAGTTGTTTCAAAATGACACACATTTAAACAAAACCTCAGTAAGGGGGAAATGGGAGCATATTTTTTGAGGGCTGTGAATTGCATGTAATCAAAGTGGTAGAGGTTGTGAATAAGTTATGGTGTGGAGACAGAGGTAGAAATACAGAGGACAAGATGATGAGAGAGCGCGATGTGAGAAGTAAAAGGGGTAGAAGGAGCTGGTATTTCAGAGAAACAAGAGAGTTGCAGGTGATCTAAGAGGGGAAGAATGACATGCAAAGAGACAATGGCAAACAAAACAGAAGAGAAGAATAGAAAGAGATTGCTTTATTTCCTGATTATAAAGACTTCCAAGCCATCTTGTAAATCCAGTCTGAAGAATTGTTTTGCACTGTTCAAGGATCTGGACCAATATTTTTGGGAAACCTTTCCTGAATCCTACATGCACTTGTGCAGCCAGCTTCTTCCTCAGTGTTGCCTCTCCTGCTCATCTCTTTTTCCATCTTAGTGGTGGAACAGCACTTACATCTGTTCCACCTTTGCAAACTCTCTTATGCCCCAGATCATCTTTTCCCAGTAGCCTGCAAAGCTAAATGCCAAATTTTATATTACATGAGGCAAGCAAAGCACCTGCGTTTCCAGAACACGCAGGGCTGGGCAGGAAACCCACGGTCCTGTGTTGTGACCATGCTGCATTTAAGCAAGCTGCCTGAGGACACAGTCTTTCTTCCTAACAGGCATTTAACCTCAGCCCAGCTGATCCAGATGGCAAGTCAGATCCCTACATTGTGCTGAGACTGGGCAACACAGAAATTAAAGACAGGGAAAACTACATTCCCAAGCAGCTAAACCCAGTATTTGGAAGGTCAGTGATGGCTTATTTTCTTATTTAGGGGTGGTTTCTGCTTTATCACTTGCTGCCACTATTGCTGTTACTATTACAAAGTGTTTGTTATACGCTGATTTCTGCCCATTTGGATGTTTTGTAATTCTACTGGTTAAAATATTGAGAACTGGTGTCACCCTGTATGATTATAAAATATTTCATTTTCATGCCAGTCAAAACACATCACGGAATGCAATCTGTGAGAGGTTTTGCAAAATGATGCATAAGAGGAAATGAGGCAACAAATAATGTTGTCTGTGCAAAATAATGTAATTGTTAAGTTTAAAGTGAAATAAATATTAGCACAGTAAAGTGTAATTTCATAATCTTTGTTACTATTTCAGGTCGAATAGAGTGCCAAATAAATCTCATAATTTTAGGACTAGAACAAAAAAACTTGTTTTTTGAACCCACACAGCCTTCTGAATGGGGGAGCCAGGGGCAAGCTGTCAATAAACAACAACGTTGTATTATCAATGTTTTATACTTATTTATATTTTTAATGCTAACAGCTGTGATTTTTTGCCAGTAATTTTCCCGGTTTTAAAAAGGTTGAAAATGTTTTGAATTGAGATGGAGTTATTCTGTAAGAACATTAAGACAGAGAAACTATACTATGCTGGACTGAAAGCCCCCTAGGCCAGGGTCCTGTCTGCAAAACTGGAGACTTAAAGAAAAAAGTGTAAGGAGAAAAGACAAGAACAGAGTAGTCCCTCCATAGCATGCCATCTCAATTTCTGTGATTTAAACTCTTCCTTAGTAGAGGTTGCAACTGAACCATTATTGTGATAAACCGTAAAGCACAGCCATTATAGATGCATATAGATGGAGCGGGAAATTGCTGCTATTTTTGTTTTAGACAAGGTTAGGAATGGGCTGTTCATTTGGATAGTCATAGAATCATAGAATCATTTAGGTTGCAAAAGACCTTTAAGATCATGAAGTCCAACTGTTAACCTAGCACTGCTAAGTCCAACACTAAACCATGTCCCTAAGCGCCACATCTACAAATCTTTTGAATACCTCCAGGGATGGTGACTCAACCACTTCCCCGGGCAGCCTGCTCCAATGCTTGACAACCCTTTTGGTGAGGAAATTTTTCCTAATATCCAATCTAAACCTCCCCTGGCACAACTTGAGGCCATTTTCTCCTGTCCTATTGCTTGTTCCTTGGGAGAAGGTACTGATGCCCACCTTGCTACAACCTCCTTTCAGGTAGTTGTAGAGCACGATAAGGTCTCCCCTCAGCCTCCTTTTCTTCAAGCTAAACAACCCCAGTTCCCTCAGCTGCTCCTCAGAAGGCTTGTGCGCTAGACCCTTCACCAGCTTTGTTGCCCTTCTCTAGACACACTCCAGCACCTCGACGTCCTTCTTGTAGTGAGGGGCCCAAAACTGAACACAGTATTCGAGGTGCGGCCTCACCAGTGCCGAGTACAGGGGCACGATCACTTCCCTACTCCTGCTGGCCACACTAGTTCTGATACAGGCCAGGATGCCATTGGCCTTCTTGGCCACCTGGGCACACTGCCGGCTCATGGTCAGCCGGCTGTCGACCAACACCCCCAGGTCCTTTTTCGACAGGCAGCTTTCCAGCCACTCTTCCCCAAGCCTGTAGCGCTGCGTGGGGTTGTTGTGGCCAAAGTGCAGGACCCGGCACTT